CCCCTACTGTTCTGTAAAGAGGGCATTTGCCCTTGCAAGCGGGGAGCACACTGGGATCTTGGGGTCTTGACTGTCCAAGGCCTGAAGTGAGGACTGGCCTGGGCATGGGTCTCAGCTACTCTCTTCTCATTCTCCAAGGACTCAACAAACAGCCTGACCAGGAAGGGGTCCGATGGGAAGAGAATCTGGGCCAGGGATGGCTCCAAACTTCCTCCCACCTGCCCCTCACATAGATGTCCACTCTTCATGGGTCCTGGGGTCCAGCCCAGTCTCAGTTCCTGGCTTTGCATTCTGTTCACATCCCAATGTGGGTGGGAATGGCAGCTCAAGCCCTCTGCCACATGCTGGACTTCTCCCTCCTCCTAGGGTGCAGTGTCCCCAAGAAGGCCTGCCCAGAGGCCACACCCAGCCACCTGTCACCATCCAGAGCCCCTAAGAGGCCAGACCCCAAGGGGCCAAAGTGGATCCCACCTGAAGCCGAGCAGGAGTATGTGAACATCATGAAGGGGCTGCTGGGACACAGTGGCCAGTGGGCACAGGACGCCGTCCAGCCCGGACAGGAGGATGGGGCGTTCCCTGACCTGGGGCTCCTGAGCTACATGGAAGAGCTGTGCTCCCAGGAGGACTTTATCACCAAGGTGGGTCGTCCTGGGTGCTGGTGTCTGCATGTTCTGGGGAGCCCCCCAGACCTAGTAACTCAGCTGTACTGCTCAGCTCCCGACAGGGGGAGTGAGTGTGTGTGTGTATGTGGGTGCATTCTGTATTGTATCGTGGTTGCTATGTGTGTGTTTGTGGTGAATGTGTGTATGCTACTCTGATTGTCTATATGTATGTGGATGCACAATTGCATTCTACTGTGGTCATCTTTGTGTATGTATGAGGGGGCCCGTGTGTATGTGGGTGCTTGTGTGTATGCTACTGTGGTTGTCTATGTTTATATATGTGAGTGTGTGTCTGTGTACTACTGTGATCATCTGTGTGTATGTGGGTGTGTGTGTGTATGCTACTGTGGCTGCTACGTGTGTGTGTGTCTTTGTGCTACCTTGGCTGTTGTGTATATGTGTGTGTGTGTGTTACTGTGATTGCTTTTGGTATGTATGTGACTGTGTGTCTAAGTGGTCCTGTGATTGTGTGTGTGATTAATGTATGAGTGGTACCAGGTGTGCAGTATGTCCCTCTCTCTCTCTGTGTGTGCTACTTCTGTTCCCTTGTCTGTGCTC